TTTAGCTTTACGATCAGTTTTACGGTTGAGCGCGGAATTCTTTCCACTCACGAAAATACGCCCGCCTCTTATTACATTTTAACTCTGGCATACTTTGCCATTTAAACTCCTCGAACAGGAGCAATAAAAACTTCCATTAACAAGGAAACCCGAAGCAACCGGTTAAAATGTCCGCAATTCATCCCATACAAAGTTTCGTGTTTGAACAAACCATGTTCCAAAACGAGCCTGAGCATCGTAAGAGAAAAACAAATACAAAAAAGGAATGAAGGAAACGGAAGGAATAATTCATTTTATTATCCTTACGCGAATAAAACGGATTGTCTTTGAAAGTTCCTCGGGGATGAGACGTTCCATTCGTTGCTGGAAACTAACCGGCCGACCATTCGTTCTTAAATGCCGGCAAGAGTTCCACGGCAAATCGTTCCCCTGAATTTATTTGGATATTCGTCTCGCGCTGTAAACGACAATCGGGTGGAAAGTTTCGTCCGGCTAACAGAGACGTAACCGTTGCCCCGTTGCAAAATCGTCCTAGCCAGTTTCGTAACTTCTCGTACTTCGGCAACTTTTTCACAACTCGTCGTTCAGAAAGGTAGTTCTCCCAGTTGGCAGAGAGGAAGTCGTTACGATAATCGAACGAAAACTCCTTTTTCTGCGATGAGGTCAGTCACGTAATGTCCACGTAGATAAATGCACCTAGTTAAAGCTTTGAATGTTTAAAAGAGAGAGAGAGAGAGAGAAATGATTTTGAACGTTTCGCGGGTATTTAAAAGCTAGTGAAAATTACACATATTATCGGAACATTGATACGTTTCTTATGGGAGGACATATAAGTAAATCGAAAACGAATCTATGTAAAAACAAATCGTCGTGATTATATTTAATTGTATAATAATTATAACAATGACAAGGATATTGCACATCTTGCAATATCTATATAATGGATGGACTTTGTTTTGACCTTCTCGCGTTTTCCAGTGAACGACTAACTAACTAATGAATAAATCGATATTTGTAAAATGTTTCAAATACTCGTGTTTGAAAATTATAGGTATACGTAGACACTGCATAATCGAGAAAAGCGTGGATCATCCGCAACGTGGAAACGAAGTTTTATAGGCCAAATTTTCGCGTTTACGTTTCTCGCGTAGTTTCTTTGTAGTATTTCACTGCGAAAGAGAGGCATTGAAGCCATCGTGAAACCTCCGTATATTTCTGTCGAGGAGAGTCGTCCTGCAGTCTCGAGACTGCACACTGAGATGAAGTTTGGATTCGTCTTTTTTTTTATAGTCGCGAGAGAGAAGGGTTGTTGCAACTGAACTTTGGAGAACGAGGAGATGCTGTTTCCTCGAGGCGGAAGGACGTTTGCGAATTCTTCGAATTTCTTCAATTCTGCAATTTCTATAAAAAAAAAAAAAA